TCGTTATTTCTTTTTCGGTTTCCTTTCTTCGTTCTTTTCTCTTCTCTTCGTTTTTTTTTCTTCTTTTCTCTTCGTTCTTCTTTTCTCTTCGTTCTTTTTCTTTTCTCTTCGTTCTTCTTTGGATCCCAACCGTTGCTTCGAATTCCTTCCTTGTTCTTCTCCGAAATTGGGGATTTCATACCAAAAAATTCATTTCGCCTGGTTCACTGTCGAAGTTAGGGACTGTAAATCAGTTGGGGTTTCGTTGTCGTTAGTGTTGGTTCACTGTCGCCGTCGGGCAATAGAAGAATTGAGGATTTTTGAGGCGAAAGTGACTAGCATTGTACAGGTTTGCTCCAACTTCCAAATTCCAATTTTCAATGTTAGGGTTTTACTTAAATTGTTTTAAAAAAATAGAATAAATTAGTAAAATCTGAGTTTGTTTGAAAACGTTATGGGTAATTGCTTGAAATCGTTATGGGTTTGTTATGAAATCGTTATGAAATCGTTATGGGTTTGCTTGAAATCAGTTTGGGTAAATTAGTAATTGCTTGAAATCGTTATGGGTTTGTTGATTAGGGCTACTCGAAATTGGAAATCGTTATTGTTTCGCTAGGGTTTGACAGTTTCAAGCATAAATTTTGTATATATTTTGTATAATATTTTAAAAGGTTTTTAAACAGGATTGTGTGTAAAGGGTTGTAAAAAGTTATTGATGATGATGATTATTTTGCAGATAGATAACAATGACTCAGTGCACATCATAGATCTACCTAAAGGGATCTATGATGATGGTTCTGAACCAAACATTTCAGCATCTATTATCCAACATTCAGATTTGAGGTTAGTTCCAAAAGTTAAAGCTGTTTTGAGCGATGAATCGTTCAAAAAGCTTCAAAATTCTTTCCTTGGACACATCATCAAGATTGAAGCAAAAAGCCTCAAATTCTCGGGCAAACTATTTCACTACATTATGATGAGGAGGCTGAAGACAAAAGGAAACAACTTGTGGTTCAGAATCGCTTCACAGCCAACACGTTTCTCCATGAGAGAATTTTTTCTGTCAACAGGTATTCCATATATATTTTACATCTTTGTTTAATTTCTGCCAGTTATAAAAAGTTTTTATAAGGTTTTTATAAGGTTTTTATAAGTTATATACATATCATTTGAATGTGAAAATAAACGAATTCTTTGAAAACTTGTTTATAAGTTTTTTATAAGGTTTTTATAAGGTTTTTATAAGGTTTTTAATAGGTATTCCATATATATTTTACATCTTTGTTTAATTTCTGCCAGTTATAAAAAAATTTTATAAGGTTTTTATAAGTTATATACATATCATTTGAATGAGAAAATAAACGAATTCTTTGAAAACTTGTTTATAAGTTTTTTATAAGGTTTTTATAAGGTTTTATAAGGTTCTTATAAGGTTTATATAAGATTTTTATAAGGTATGTACATATCATTTGAATGTGAAATAAACAAATTATTTGAAAACTTGTTGATAAAGTTTTTATAAGGTTTTTATAAGGTTTTTATAAGGTATGTACATATCATTTGAATGTCAAATAAACATTATTTGAAAACTTGTTTATAAGGTTTTTTAAGGTTTTAATAAGGTTTGTGCATATCATTTGAATGTGAAACATACGAAATTTATTAGTAAATTGAAAATACTAACCTCATTGTTTAATAAATCACAGGTATTCATTGTGAAAAGCTTGATACAGATCGAAGTAGGAAGGGGAAAAAACCTGCTAAGAAACCCTACAGTTGGACGTCGCGAAAAGATTTGACCTTGAGTAATTTGGAGGATTACTTGTTTTCTGAACCAAAGGATATAACTGATTTGGAGGAAACAGAGGAAACAGAGGCGCCGATTGAAGAGGATGAAAAGCTTTGCCTTGCAGCTGTCATCCTTACAGAAGCATTCTTGATGACACCTCATTCATCAGAGAAAATCCCAAGTTCAAGACTTCAATATGCATCCGATTTTGAGGCGTATACATCTTTAGCATGGGGAAAAGAAGCCTACAACGTCTTGTCTACAAGTATCAAGAGGATGGATACCAATACATGGGCAAGAGGCCAATATGAAGTCAAAGGTTTTCCTTTGGCTTTATTGATCTGGTCATTCAGCGCTGTACCACTTTTTGGAGCGACGTTTGCTGTATGCAACGACACGTCAAAGTGTGTCTATCCTCTATACTCTAACTGGGAATCTTTGTTAACTCCAAGATTAGATCAAATCGTGGATGCCATTCAATCATCGGATTGTGTAAGTTTTCATTCCTTTTATAACACTTTTTATTTGGTGATGAGCATTAATTTTATAAGGTTTTATATGGTTTTTAAAAGTATTTTAAAGCGAATTTTAATAGAGTTATTTAGGGTTTTATAAGAGTTTTATAAGGATTTTATAAGCGTTTACAACCATTGTAAGGATTTTATAAGGGTTTTATAAGGGTTTTATAAGGATTTTATAAGGGTTTTATAAGGGTTTTATAAGGATTTACAATCATTGTATATCCATTTTAAAAACCTTTGTTATTTATTTTTCTAGATTGAGGTCAAATCTATTAGTGGAGATCCAGAGGAATACAAACACCTAGTAGAAGAAACTCATGTAGACGACAAAGAGTTTGAAGATATTGTACACTTAGTGATGAGAGGCTACAGATTAAAGGAGATTGATTGGAGGAACAAAATTGTTGAATACATTTCTGCGGAGGCAGAGTTGGGGCAGCAATTGTCAGATTCTGCCAAACTGGACAAGATCCTTAAACTAGTTGCAGACTTCAGCAGAAGATTAGAAATACTTGAAGTGGTTCTAAAAGTCAGAAACAACATGGGGACATATAACGAGGTAAAATATTTGTAAATTTTAATTAATAAAAAGTTTGGGTTGTTTCCTATGATAATTTCTTACTTTTCTTATCGCAGTCCGAG